TTATTAAAGTTGGTAAGAAATGTTTCGGTCCATTAAGTCGTATACATTTCTTACCATTGCCACAGTATTCTTACTTACATGTTTTATTTTTATTCGCTTATCAGTTTACATACATAGGCAAACGCGAGGAGGGGGGAGAGGAGATTTTCGCTTCCCCCTCCCTCTTCCCCAGCGGTATAGGCACTATGGTACAAAAATGAGGGTCTAAATCTAAAACTGAAGAAAACTCTCTTCTGCACCCCCGTTCCCACCCTTCCTCCCACCCCTTTCGCTAGGAGCCCCATCCGTCTATGTTTATATATAATCATAAATATCTGCATTTCAAACAAGCACTAAAACTGACCAGTCCAAGACATGTACATTTTGCAGTTCAATAAAATTTGCAGCTCAGGACTGGCTTAAAAAAAAACAACAAAGACATAGAACTGATGGCTGGTAGTGCCAGGATTTTGTTGCCAAGCTGTGAGAAAAAACTTTGAGGAAGAAAAGAAGCCAAAGTTGCAAACGAGAGGATTAGTGTGAATCCATGAAGCGTTGTGATAAATAGCGATATCAAATGCACGGAGGCGAAGAAGGGCCCGGCCGGGGAGAGGGAAAAGCCCAGTGTTGCTAGTTTCCTGGGAAGCTGCTCATACTGCTGCTGCTGCTGCTCGCAGTGCTGCTGAAGCTGATAAATTCCAGAAGGCGATGAAAGTCCGGAAGAACAAGGGAGAAGCAGCACAAAAGTGTGGTGGTGGAATAAGAAACAGCAAAGAATAAGCTGCTGATGCTGCTGCTGTTCAGTTTGGTGGAACGTTACACTGGCCTCCTCCTTTGCTCCAGCATTCTCCGCTTGCTTCTTGCGACGAGAATGACCTCTTTCTGAGGGCTTCCACCGACCTCTCCTTAATTGATTATTCAGGCAATCTTAGCAGACAAATCATTGATTGAGGGATTCTGTTCGTTAAGTAAAAGATCTCCTTTCGCACTATTGCGTCTCAGCACCCATTAAGCAAATTAATGGTTTTGTGGTTTTTTTTGTGATTCCTAAAATTACGCAAAACATGAAGTTTCTCAGTATTTTTTTCCATTTTCCTCATAATTTTTAAATTTACAAAAAATATGGGACTTCTCATTCTATAGTTATTTCCTTTCCTTTTATCTTCGTAATTCCTAAATGCACCCAAAACAAAGAGTTCCTTGGTGTATAGTTATTAAGGAAATGCCACTTCCAGTTTTTCATTAATTGTCAAAATTCAATTATGCTCCTCTCCACGGTGGGGCAATAACGCCAAAACTGTTAACACATAGACGATTTCAGGCTTCCGTTCTCTTCCAATTTCCTTGTCAAGAATAATCACTGTTTGTACTTTTCCAAAAAAAAATCTCTACAATACAAAATAACAGCAAGCTACACCACCTACAACTTCACTGCTGTTAACTATCCTCTGCAGATCTCTTAATACTTAAAGTTTTGTAGCACATTACCCTGAAGAAACTTCGAAAACATTGGTCTTCCACGCAGTTATTCAGATCGAATCCTGGAAATAC